TCTTTTCTTTGATATCAAATGCATTGTTGTGCTATCATTTTATTGTTCATAGAAGACCATTTCACTACTATTACTACTAGCTGTAGAACCACTACTGGTGATTTAGAAGGCAAAACGGATGAAGGACAGACCGTTCGAATTTTTGCTAGGGACTGGACTGGTTTCACAAAATTGGATGAAGGACAGACTATTTGTACTAGAATTACAGTACTAATGTGGTGGTAACACCAGCCCTATATCAGTACATCAAACAACAAACAACAAACAGCAGTAACATCCAAGAAACACTTACTACTTGACTCTCAACTGTATGAGAAATGTGCATATGAAGTTTGAAAATCAGAGAGTGATTGGAAGTGTTCCTGTGTAGGGGGTCTTTCAGGTACACTTCTTTTAACAGTGATATGCAGTAAAAATTAAGTTCTCAAAAAATCCTGGGGTGACATTTTCCAATTTTGGACACACATGGAATAATGAAATTCTGATCCTGCACGAGAAAAAAAAAACTGTTGCGCGCCCCTCTAAATTATGACCCCTGCGTACACCTACAGTCAGGGGTCATAATTTAGAGGGGAGCGCATAAGAGAAACTCATATTCCACGTGTGGTCCAAATTTCAAAAATTCACMCCAGGATTTTTTTTCATCATTTTTACTACATAATACTAGTAAAACTATCCAACCTTTAAGCACTTGCAACTTTATCAAAAATACTACTATTTTAATTTTTGAGTAGCCAGTCTAGTCCAGTTTTTAATGATGATTCTGAATATACCATTTTGTTGGAAATTAAATTGATATTTGTGGTACTTTTTTACTATTGAAAAATGAACATAATTTCCATACTAGTACAACTACTAGTAGTACTAGTACTAGTACTAGTAGCACTAATTGCAATTTTCTTCATTGTTATTGCCATCACTAGTGTTATTGCTGCTGCTCTAACAATCAGTAAATTTTGTGCTTTATCTTACTATTCTTTGTTGGCTTTTGATTCAATAGAAACCTTGAATAGCAACAATAGTACTAACACCAGTACTACTACTAGTAGGAAGATCAGCTTACAGAGAAAGAAGTAGTAGCAACAAGAATATGTTTAAGTGGTTTAGGATGAAATGGAAAGACTGTGGAGATGAGCCCAGAGGATTGCACCAAACAGTTGATTCCTTCATGTTGTTGTCAGATTGTTGCAGAAGGGGGCTTGTTGGAGGATCATCCCTTGTTCTTGTTAATTCTTCACTGACTTCAGTAGCAAAAGCAACAGGAGCAGGGATCATGCAGACACCAGCATCAAAGAGATCTTCAGCAAGAGGTTCTTGTTTGCCTTTCAGAGCCATTGGATTCTGAGTGGTGAGACCAACACCAACAACAATAACAAACACAGTAGCAATCCTTTTCTGTACTTCTCCTTCTTTGAACAACAACACAAATTTTTTATGCTGGTCAAGTTCTTCAAACAGTTCAAATCTAGTCTCAAGAAATATACGATAGGTTTTGCATATATGATCATTTTAAAACCTTGATAGAGCTTCTTATTTCTAAGCTGGTGCTGTTATCTATATCATAGATAGAAAAACATTCCTGTTTGGGAGTTGAATTTGAATGTCATAAATCATTTGTAGCAACATTGAAGTGGACTTTGAGGCCTCTTGGTAGATTCTGATAATTGCAAGTCTCCTCCTCTGTACAATAATAGAAGCATCAATTCCTCTGATCTGAATGACAGTAGGAAGCCTTCAGGAACTTAAAGAATAGACTATTGACTCACATCTCGTCGTCCTTCTCAAGCTGCAAATGTCTTGTGTACTACAGGTGTTCAGAGAAAATAACAACATCATTGTTGTCCTCCTCAGCAATACAGTATGCTTCAAGAAAAAAGGCATGGTTAAACTAGTACTACTACCTACTACATGCCTTTCAGCAGGGATCATTATTGCTTGTAGACCAGTGTGAGTTGCTGTGACAAGTGAAGTGAGATGAATATTTCTAAATCTCTTTATCTTAATCCTTAACTATAAGATATGCATAATCATAGAAGATCATGAAATTAGAGGGCTGCCCCTGCTTAGCTGCTTGGAATCCCATGGTGAATACCATTTGCAACAAAACTATTTGTCATTGTTTGCAACTGCTTTGTAGATGTATTAAACTAAGTTTAATGAGCTTGTCAAACACTGTAGCAGAGTAAGTTTCTCTTTGTAGTTTTCTTTATACACTCGAGTACACTCTTCTTCACAAGTTCCCACCCCACCTTGCTGATAGACCCCTTCAACACTACAAGCTAGAAGTCATGTGGGTGTTTAATTTTACAAAGAAGTTGACAACCATCCGGGCTTGCACTACTACTACCAGCAGGAAAAATCAAAATTAATCAACATGATTGTTGACTGTAGATGTTTTCAGAGGGGGGGGTACTCTTTTTAAAGTCCAATTGAAAATTTGGAATAGTTTCTGTATGTTAACATAATGTTCCTTGTCTAGAACTGTCACATTTCCATAGTAACAACAGCAAAATACTGAACAGACACCATAACCTGCAATAGCAAAAATTGACAGTGAAGGAATTACTACCAGTACCACCACCATTTGCAACATAAAGAAGCAATGATTAATGCCATTGGAGTCAGCAATACTTTTCATTTGTGCTGTTTCTTGACAAAATAGTACTTGAGAGAGAGAGAGAGAGCAAATGAGTGGTGCTGTTGCATTCTTGGGAAAAACCAGCAAACACATTAACAAGCAAAGTGATAAGTGATTCTGTTACTAGAATGACATATATTCACTTATAGCCTTGTTACCACCACCACCACCAGCAGCAGCTTGTTTGCAAGAATGGAGGGACAATGATTAGACGAGGAGGACGACTGGTGCCTTGTTAATCTTACTGCTACTAGTAGTAACTTGTTCGTTGTTCAACCAACAATATCCATTTTGACAATGACAATTCCTTCAATACACGCAGGAAGACATGTTTCATGCTCCATTGCATGTTGAATGGATGCAAAAACAACAAAAAAGAACTAGTATTGGTATTACTTGTTCTTGATTGGCTGGAATTTTTTTTCTTATTTCTCCATGTTCAGAAAAAACTCAAAACTACTCCACTCATTTTTCATTCTTGTTTTTGAAGGATATTCACTTATTTACGTACGTCCGCATACGTACGAGTACGTAAACGAACCATCCATACTCACAACTATCAAAATACCGCTTGTCACACAGCCAAGCCACAAATTAACGATGGTTACATCATCATTCCTACGGGTATCGGCATACGTATTTTGGATTTGCTTTAGTATTTCCCAAACGATCTGCTGCAGAGCTTTTCTAACCAGCCACTTGGTACATCGAACTCAAAACAGGCAACTTCGAAAAGAGGTACCGAGTCTGTTACAAAAGTACGCATCCGAAAGGACAACGACAAACGGAAAAACAACTCGAGCGAGAAGAAGAACGTCCTCTGCCATGGCGACCAGTTCCGACAACCAAACAGACCTTAGCAGGAACCATCTCTTTAAAATAAGAACGATCACAGCATTTGTGAGCTTGAAGGATTCCGATTTTCATCACGATGCGGTGGCACTGAAATCAAAACTCGAAACTACGTCGAGAGCCCTTGAGATGGCCCGACAGCAATTAGAGGGAAAGAGCAGTGGCAGCGGCTACGAAATCCAAACACTGAGGGTTGCCACGAATCCATTTCCCGAATATCTTCTTGGAAGTGATAGTAGTAGCAAGACCGCATGCGATGAAGCTGTCGTTCGAGAGCGATTGAAAGTGTTGGACGACTGCTTTGAGAAACACGGAATCGCATTTGTATCCCTGGGCCCTGCCTGCAGCCAAGAAACCGTCGAGGTCTGCACGAGAATCGTCGATTTTTCGGGGCGCTTTTCTTGCTCGGTCCAGCTGGCATCCAACGACGTTGCCCTGGCCAGGGTTTCGGCCGAAACCATCCTGCGCAACTCGAAACTGGGAAATCCCGAGGACGGTGGCCTGGCAAATTTCCGATTTTGTGTGGCCAACGTCAAGCCGTACATTCCCTTTTTTCCTGCCGCCAAGGCAAGGACGGAGGACGACGAAACTTTTACGATCCGTTTCGCAATCGGTTTGGAAAACGGGGCACTGTTGAAGGATCTCTTGGAGAAGGACGCAGGTCGAACCATTGCAAATATTTTGCCCCCGAAAACCTTGTCGCCCGCCAGCGGCAGCAGTTTCGCGGCGGGATTCGCCGAATCGGTGCGTCCGATCCAAAGCATCTGCGACAACCTTGTGAGGGAATGGGATGGTTCGTCCGCTGCTCTGGAATACATTGGATTGGATGCCTCCTTCAACCCGTCCCTGGACGAAGAAGGCAGCGTCGCTTCCGCGGTCGAAGCACTGGACGAGGTCTCGAGGGGATTTGGCGGAGTCGGGACCATCGCCGCTACGGCCGCCATGACCACGGCAATCCAGACCAAGCTGCCGAGCGAGGAGGAGGGTTTCGGCATCAAGATCACCGGGTACAACGGCCTGATGCTTCCTCTCTGCGAAGACAAACGACTGGCCCAGCTGGCCACCGAAGGCAAGCTGCGGATGACCGATCTCCTGAACGTTAGCAGCGTCTGTGGAGTCGGCATCGACACGGTCCCCATACCGGGCGATGCCAGTGTCGAGGAACTAACTTCGTTGTTGCTGGACGTGGCAGGACTGGCCGAGCGCTGGAACAAGCCCCTGAGCTGCCGGGTGTTTCCCGTTCCAAACAAAACAGTCGGGGAGATGACCACCTTTGATTCTCCGTTTCTGGTGAACTCAAAGATCTTGCCTGTCTCGTCGTAGGAACTCGATACATTCATAAAAAAGTTTAAAATTACGCACGAGCACGACACTTTGCAAAGGAACCATGGTCATTCTCATCACATACTTCGAAATGCAGGTTTCTGCACCTGCAAAGTGTGGGACAATTTGTTTGTTATAGAATTATTCGCGTTGTGAGTTTTTGAAGATCTGCACGGACTCAATCTCCTTTGCGTGTCTGATAGATGCCAAAGTTGACGTGGTTTCCTAGCCTCACGGGAAGGCCCTTGTTCGAGCTGGCAATGGCTGTCTTTGTTCGTTGGCAGTTTCTCTCCTATCGACTGGATCCTCCTTGGCAAGTCTTGGAAAATTCAATCGGAAGCCGGGCATTCGACACAGGCAGGACCAAGCACGGCACCATAGTCCCGACGCCCAATAGGACCGCGAAAAAATCCATCGCGGCAACCCATGGACAATGGCAAGAAAGACGCACCATCGGTCATTGATTGGTTGCCGTTCGTTCGTTCGTTCGTTCCGAAACCAACGCAATGGTGGAGTACGGCCCCGTCGATTCGAAGCGGCGCTGGGTCGATGCGATTTGTGTGCGCGTGTGCTTCTACACCTATAACATGCGTCATGCCGCAGTTGCAATGCCCAGGTGTCTGGTAGCTCCGGGTTTGAAGAGGAGTTCCCGGAGCTCCCAACCCGATGTTTCGAGCCATTGCCGCACCTCCGATTCTTCTGTTCCTCTAGGGTCAATTACAGCGGCATCGGAGCTGGCTCCGGCGGAAGGAGCGGTGGAATCAGCAGCAGCAACCACGGACCCGGTGGGAGCGGCATCCAAAGCCGTGTTCCTCCGCGGAACCAGCCGGTCGGCAAACACGAACGAAGCAGATGCAAAGCCCGATTCGCTGTCGCTGCCCCGGAAGCGTTCGGCCAGTCCTTCCAAGACCCGCCGCGCCTTTCCGGGCAACAGGTACATGAGGACGGCCTCCGAGACCACAACCACGCGCCACACGCCGGGCTTCCCGGACGCCGGATCGGACGAGGGATCGTCCGCCAGTTCTCTTCGAATCTTGTCCAGCACCCGGTCCACTGCCTCGTCGTCGTTCAGGTCGACCCCCTCCAATCGAACCCCGCGGGGGGTTCCGCTCACACCGTTTCTGGCACGGCCACTCCCACCGGCGTCCTCCCCCTCCACGCAAAAGCCGGCCCGGGAGAGCAACCGCCGCTTCGAGTCGACCACCGCGGGCAGGTCCAGTTCGTAGACCCGCTCGATTCCTTTCCCGGCCGAAAGGACCGCCCCGCGCGGGTCGTACCCGCCGCCCAGCACAACGACGCAGCAGCGGTCCGGTCCGGTCGTGGAAGCCCCGCTCGGTGCCAAAACCCTTCGGAGGGCACCCTTCAGGTAGGCCGTCCGCAGCTCGATGTTCGCGTGCATCCAGCGGGGAAAGAATCTCCACAGGCCCAGATAGCGCAGCGGCCACCGGATCGAACACGGAGGCAGCATCCGGTAGGTCGCAAACAGCACCGCATCGGTAGCATCGCCGCTGTTGCCGCCCCACACGCCGCTGCTTCCCTTCCCCGGCAGCGATCGGCGGCCCTCGTAGGCCGGGGACTCCGGGTCGAGGGAGGACAGCAGCTTGCACCACAGCACGCGGAGATTGACAAAGACGTCGGGCGGACGGCGGTCCCTTCCGCCCTCGAACAGGTGCAGCAGGGGAAGAATCCTTCCGTGGATCCTCCAGGACCACCGGGCGATCGGGAGTTCCAAAACCCCCCCGCGGCCCAGCACCCGGTTGTGCTCGTCCGGTGGGCGGACCCCCAGGCGGGCATAGGCGGCGTCGTGTGTGTGGACGCTGTTCTTGCCCCTGCTGCTCGGATCCGCCCAACAACCGGGCAGGGACAGGAGCAGCGCAAGGGCCGCCGAAGAAACGAACCACAGGGCGAGGGGGGTGGCAACAGCAGCAGTGGCGGCTACCCCGTTGCTGCGGATCGACGAGTCCGCCATGGTTGTTGGTTGTGATTGTTGCTATGTTATGTTATGTTATGTTATGTTATGTTATGCCCGCCGCGGTCCTTTGTTGTGTTGTGTTGTGTTGTGGCAATGGGGAAGACACAGAAACAGGAGCAACATGAAACACTCAGTTTTTGTTTTTCGTTGCGCGGATTTCCTGAAAAAACGTGGAGGTTCCCGTGGTTTGGTAGAGCCCACTGTTACGACCACTACGACTCACGAAGAATCAATGGGTTATTTTTTAGTAGTATTCAACAAAAACTTCAAATTTCAAATACCAGGTACAAGTACCACAGGTACGGGCTTATTTTTCGTTTTTCCTCACTTTTTGACGTTGCCATCGAACTTGCAACCGAACATACCCACAGTCTAGGAGCAATCTATCCAAAGACAAACGTTCCGACAATCATTGTCTATTTCATCGTTCCTTTCCATCTTGTTCTTTCACAACAACCAAAAACTTGTAAGATTCGATCGAGTCCGTCGTCTCTCTCACCCGGCAACGGTCCAAGATCCTTCCGGCGATTCCGATCGGGCGCGCCTCGTTTTGGATGTCGAGGAGTATCGCCTCGCACAACAAGTGCCCCATCGACCGACGGGTTCTCGTGGCGTGCAACGACGCATCGATTTCCCGCGTGGCAAGAATGGACGACTTGAACCAGAGCCATCGAATCAAGAATCAACCCATCACTGCCATTCGATGACCGTAGCCTGCCGTGACCAACAACGCCATCGTCTTGAACAAAAAACCTATAGTGGGCCGTGACGGTGCTCCAAACGCGTTTCTCTGGAGCGCTTCTATTGATCGAAGAGATGGAGGGAAAAACAGATAGGCACAAACTGTAACAGCAAGGATACTTCTGTCGTTGTGTTAGTAGCTTGCAGTCTTGGATGTTGTAGAGCTATTTGCAACAACAACAATCGACTACGCTTTGTACTGGATTACTGCACTGCGTTTCATCCTTTACTGCTGTTTACCAGCAATATTTCTACTCTTGAAGTGCAAGAAATGCGATCACGAGTCCTCGACGTGTTTGTCTAATTTTAGACACTGCATCCAAAGAGTCAAAAGTCCTACTAGAATTTATACATAGCATTGACCGTTCTATTCCGTGCTGCGAATATCAATTGAGATGGACACTAATAAGAAAAATGCTATTATTTTCACTTTATTAACCGTACACTTTTGCACCAAGAAGACAAAGTTGCTTCTCTTGATTTTAGCTATCTGGATCGCTATTGTTGTATGCTTGATGCTCAATTTCGACGTTCTCATCGAACCATGTGGGTTCGTCCTTCAACCACCAATCCGTTTCTTGAACGGATGCAAACATCCAGACGAGGAAAACGGTGTAGGAAATAGTTGCAAAAACAAGACAGCACATGTCGAATTTCCGGAAACTAAATGTATAGAAACACGACTCCTTCTCTGCCTCCCAAGAAAAAGATTCCGGCGGCGCGCCTGTAAGTGCTAACTCTTCTTCATGTGCTCGTTCCATCATGGCTGAACGTTCAGCACGAGACATGCGATCGATATTCTTGTTTTCTTTTTTGGCCTGACGATCCTCTCGCAGATAATATAAAAAACCGACAACCGCAGATTGTACAAGACTTAGGAGGACCCAATAAAAAGACCAACCAACCAACTTTCCCAAAAAGAGCTTTTGGTCAGATATAGGAAGCTTATCACCAGTAATAATTTGCTGCGCGACAATGACCAATGCAAGAGCCATCCCGAATCCCAAACGTTCCCTATCATTGTAAATCGCAAGATAGGTAGAGCAACGATTGGCGAACCAAAAAAGTGAGCAACAGAGTGAAAGAAATAAACAAATGGGTATTGCCGCTTCGATTTCGGCTGCTGAAGTGTATTCTAGACGTACCCAACACGCATATCCAGAAGGAAAGTGAAGAAACTAAGATAGGTCAAGATGATGGTGGGAATCTTTGAAAATCATTGCAGTTTTTGTGTTTGTATATGACGCATTAACGTGAGATAAAGAAAAATTGAGTTGGAGGGATGAGAATAAGACTCCCATTGGTCGTTGGCAAAGCTCAAATCACATTCGAGCATAGCTGCAATAAAGAAACGCAAATAAAACACGCACCACGATATCGTTCACGTAAAAATTCTTTGCTCTTTGGAAAAAAACATTCAAAAACATTAACTGGTCGCCAATCATTCCCTTCTTCATTTTTTCTGGTACTGCTATCCATTCGTTGTATGTCACTAGTTTCCGGAAAGGCACGAAGTGAGTTCGGCAACTGGTAAATTTAAGAGAGCATGGCGTCAGTTAAGGGTAATCCCTTCTTACCTTTAAAAGCGCCAACAGAGAATTCATCAGGGTTTACCAACTCGAACTTCAAATTTGGGCTGATTTCGCGACTTGTAGGACCAAAAAGGAGTTGGCATCCAAGCGTATCGTAGGGTATATTTGCTAGCCCTTTCATGGAGCAAAATACTTTTAGTCCGCCAGAAATCGTCCATCGAACAACACCGTTGCTATAGACTGCTGCTTTCTTGTCAGGTAGAGAAGCAATGCCTTCAACAACGTTCAACACGTCAAAATCTGGCATCTGGATTGAGAGAGTTGTGTGTTCAAAGTCAACGATGTGGATGCAACAAAATAACAAAGTAGGTACGGATGGAAAACTATAAGGGAGAGATCATTCGTCGCAACACACTCACAGTAGCGAGGCGGATTATCAATCAAATTCCAAAAAGAAATATCAATCACAGACGTACCCATATTTGTGTTGTTTCTACATCCGATCCGGTAAAGACATCAACCATATTGCTGCAGGTATCGAAATCCTGAACATCCCACTTTAATCGTGGATCAACCCATGTCAGGATTAAAGTAAGAAATACGGCAGCTGTTCCTTCTGCCGTATCTATATCCATTTGAGATTGATATGTAATATCAACACTGATAACAAGTGGATTCTCCGGGTCTATAAACGGTGGAATCGCTGAATTGTAGTCACCTCCAAAGATTAGATCATGGACGTTTGTTTCGCACCGGTAGAGCGGAACGGATGGTTTGCAACAAAGATCAAAACCAAGATTAAACAACACATCTGAGCGACATTGATTTCCAATACCTTTATAATTATCTTTCCAGAGATTTGCGAAGTCGGAGCAGGTCACGTTGGCTTCCGGAAAATCCCTATCCAACGTGGTAAGTCCTTGGCACAAAGAACATTCGTTGTCAACTGCTATAAATTGTTCGGCTCCTCGTTGATTTTGCTGCTGATGCTCATGCTCATGCAAATGCCGATGAGATGGCTGCGGTTTCGGGCTTGCTTCTGTGTGCAGAGCTATCTCTCCTGCAGTGACAAAGTGATCCCGCGGGTGCAATGGGCCCAAAACCACAAAGCAGACAATCAGGAAAGATGCACCCAGATGCTTTCGATTGCAAGCAACCAACATTTTTCTTCGTGCGCCACAGTTTCTTTCAATCGCACTGACTTTTGGACTTTTCTTCAGGGGTTTTCAAGATGGCGATAATAGTTTGGATGTTTAATAGTGCTGTCCTTAGAGGTACAGATATGTACGATACGGAAGAAGTCTCTCCTCATTTTTTATTGCTGAGAACATGCGAGTTCGTACCGTAGATGTCAAAGGATTCAACTACTAGTACATGTACCCAAAATCCAAGCTTGCGTGCGGTATGATTTTACTTTTACACATCACATCATTCAAATTCAAAAAATACAAGATCATACAGATCTGTTACGTAAATTACAAGAACGTTACTCGCACTCATACTCGAGTAGATTTGTACTATAAAAGATCCTGAGGCAATACTGTAACGATCAATGAGCTGGGCCGGTGTGTCGTTATTTTCTCGCCTGAACATAAAAGCCCCTGCAAAAAAGTACTAAAATAGGATACTACATACAGTACTTGCACTTCGTACTAAGTACGTACTGTATGAAAGATTGATTTACGTCAACCACGACAGAAAAGAAGTCGAGAAGCAAGATTTACTTCTAGGAACGCGGTGGCTACGAGTACCCTGGTACTCTGCCGGACTACTACTGTTGGTGTGTGACTAACGTACGTCTTACGACTGTACTTAACGGATTACGGTACCGGTATATAATCAAATGGAATTCAAGTACCTACCGTACAGTGCAGGTACTTCGTACTGTAACGTATGTAATGTAACGGTTCGAAGTAAAAGTACGGTACAAAACTTCCGTCTGAAACTGATTCCGTCATCTGATCCTGTGTTGATTCGGACCGTTTTGTCGTCACTGTAACAAAATTTAATTAGGTATTTTTCCTACGCTGACTATGTGAAGAATATAGAACTGTTCTTCAATCTCATCACCAATAAGGCTATCGGCATCAATTCTTCTTCTGTGTTCCTCCACCTCCAATACCAATTGCCCTTTCATTTGATTGTCAAAGATCAAAAAACCATTTCGATGTTTGCGACACTTTTTACGAGCCGATTTTGTCACTCCGTGCTCTTTGTCGTCACACGTCATGTTTTGTCAAGAAAAGGATTTCCTCCTATGGTACCGCATCGAATACTATTCATTATTCGTTCATACCTTCGGGCAATGTTTCTTAGTAAGGACACAGTGAATCTGCAAGCTGACATGGCACACCAGAGTTCTAATGTATTTTGGAAACAGCAACCACTGCCCAATATCAACGCAATAGAAAACGACGACGACAAGAACATCGAAAGAGTCAATTGTATGGTTCAGATATCCGATCCCGACAGAAGAGAAATGATGCCGCCTCCAGAAAAAAAGACACGAAATCACTCAGCTAGCAGAACGATGGCGACAGCAAAACTTAAGGTGGGTTCTCACAAGAGGGATAGATACAGATGTCGAGTCGGAGATCCAAAGGGGCTGCTTTTATTATCGTTTCCGTTGAAACTCCACTTAATCCTTGAAAGTTATGAATTCGCCAGGGACAGAAGAAAAGTCAACAAAAGACTGAAGTCGATCGGTGGAAACTGGAACACCAAACACAACGACACACACGAAACTGCAACTTGCAGGTTTTGCTACAAGAATAATGGTGCGTCCGTTAAAAAGGATGAAATCATCATAGGATGGCTACCCAGGGGAAATGCCTTCAAGATATATGACAAGGGAAGGTTTGTCAGCGAGATAATGCCGCACTACTTCCTGGGACACGGGAAAAATGCCTTTTCGTTCGAAACCTTTCTACGGTGTCTCGATCTATGGTACGTTTAGTAACCGATTCTATCTACTATTGTACCAGCCGACTCACTACAACTTTTATGCTCTCTTTCTTTTGGAACACAACCTACGTCGTACACAACAACCATCACCAAATAAATTCATAACATTACCAATCACCCTACCGACGCATCGACCCTTCCATTCGTTCATCGATTGATTCCTTCATTTGTTTGATGAACATAGGGGATTTTCCCACGTTATGTGTGTGGAGGGCCCAACCACCAGAACGGTCCATATTTGTTCCCATCCAAATTTTATCAAGGGAAATCCGCAGGCGTGCAATCGCTTGAGACTTCACTCCCAGCACGAGCACGCACCGCCTTGAGTCTATTTGTTCGCACGCACGCACGTAGTTGTGCAATGAAACAAAAACAACAATGAGATGCACGAGGCACGAATTATGTCTAGTTTCCTGGTTTGCTTGTTCGTTGTTGACTCTATCACTCAAGTGGCGATATGTAAAGAACATGATGTTAGCTTCCTATTGGTAAAAGTAATAGAATTAAAGACTGTTGTTGTATCAAAGACCATTCTCCAGCGATTGCGTGTTGATACTACAGCAATATACTAACAACGAAGTTCGAAGGTGCTACTGTCTAGCAACTTCACTTATCGAAAGCCAGCTGCCTCAAGCAATTCAGTACGACATGTACCGTACAGGGGGTTGTGAATTGTGATGTATTGCAATTTATGAAGCAATAAGAATTGATGTTTCCTTTTTAGTTTTATTTGTAACAGTAGTACTAGTGGTAGTGGTATAACATTCTTGACAATACTAGTTTTGGTAGTAGTGGGTGCTCATTCTTTGCCCTGAATTCTGTCAGGTGAGTATCTTTCTCCTTGGTGTGTCATGATGTGATTTGTGATTTGGTTGGTGGTGTGATGTGCTAGTACCAGCAGTGTGTACTGCTGGTACATCCAGGTCTGGTTCATGGTTTGGTTTTCATTTGTTGTGTGTGTCTGACTACTAGAGTAATATAGTAATACTACTAAGATGATGATGCTGTTGTAGTACTGGTGCATTCTCTTGAATACTAGTATTAATTAATTGACTTCATCTTTTTGTTGGATCAATATGGTTGGTGGTACTACAGAGTCAGCCAAAAACAACCAGAATATGGTAAAGTAGTACTGTATTTGATTGATCCAATGAATCACTTCTTGTCTGGCTCAGCCAGCCGCAAGACCAAAGAAGACTACCACCCAGGGGTACAATGTACTTGTACCAATGATAGTAGTACAATGATTACTGTCCTTGTTCCCTGTTCATTGTAGGGGTCATAAATTTAGAGAGGAGTGCAACACATCAGAAAATAGTATTGCATGTGTGGTCCAATTTCCCAAAAGTTCCCCCAGGATTTTTTAATTCTCACTTTTACTGCATAATATTACTAATAGTAGTAGTAAAACCAGTACCCAACATTCTAGTACTCATAGGTATTGTTTGTGAATATTGGATGATTCCCGTAAACATAGAATCTATGCTGACATACTTTGCGTTTATGACTCAATGGGAATAAAAATATGTGACTAGATAGATTCATGTGTAATAGAATATGTCTCCCTATGTGTGCTTTATTTGGAATAGGGAATTTTGCTTGAAATTAACACCAGCTCCTTCTGATAACATTTAGTAGATTTGAATTGGCACACCAATTTGGGCTTGCTGTGCTTGTGACTTAAAATTTTTTGAATCCAAGATTCCAAAAAGTATGAGTGTGCATACATATTTTTGGTTAGTTTGAGCCTATCTGAACCAAAAATCTATGCATTTGTGTCAAAAACACATACTTCTATGTGTGCATGGCTGAAGTCTTATTCAATTTTACTTAACTTTTCACTGTCTCTGCAGTGGCAAGTATGACAGAGTGAAGAGGAACTATTGTGTTAAAGCATAGGTATCCTAACACATCAGTAAGGAGATTGAGGAAGAAGTTGCTACTATGGATAAGTATGGAAATGTCAAGAAGGAATGGTTGCAGAAGTTGCAATGTTGCTGTATGTAAAGAGCATTGGAGTAACTTCAACCATCAAGTGTAGTGATTTGTTATAAATGAATATATTTATATTTGTTGAAATATATTCTCATAATATTATTTATAGGAGTGTTGAGAGGGGTGTGATGAGTAGTAGTAGTAGTAGTAGTAGTAGTAGTAGTAGTAGTAGTAGTAGTAGTAGTAGTAGTAGTAGTAGTAGTAGTAGTAGTAGTAGTAGTAGTAGTANTAGTAGTAGTAGTAGTAGTAGTAGTAGTAGTAGTAGTAGTAGTAGTAGTAGTAGTAGTAGTAGTAGTAGTAGTAGTAGTAGTAGTAGTAGTAGTATCAAAGAAAAAAATCCTAAATTTTCTGGGTGGCAACATCAATTTAATGATTAGGGGAATGACCCATTGTATGTTGTGTGATGTTGTTTGTACAGTACTTGCCTTTGTACTAGTAGTAGTACATACTTGTACTTCATACTACAAAGTAATTTTTATGATGAGAGATGTACTTCCTGCATCCAGAAATAGATGTACCCATGCACCTCTAGTAGTGGAGTAAGCTCACTATTTGGGCAATAAAAATGGTTCTTTTTGTGCTTAACAGATCTATTATAAATGTATTCAGTTATGATGATTGCATTACTAGTAGGTAAAAGGATCTAATGTACTTGCAATGGCTACTTAAAGAGGGCCTTTTTTGGCATGTCAGCACTGAAATTTTACCGTCAGTTGGATTCTACCGGTCATTTCAAGGAACCACATACGGCTATAGAAAGCTAAGACTGAGAGCTTTATCATGATGTTCTTATCGTACTTACTATGATAGAGGATGTTCCTGTGTGGCCATTGTGGGTCACTAGGGGAAGCTAAAAACAGCTCGCCAACTCGCCCTGGGCCTCCATTGACTCCACTAACTGGGGATCCAACAATCAACCAACAGTCAAAGTACCACCAATGTATCCTCTCTTTGCACTTTGTGCTTGCCACTTGTCCTGCTTATTGCTTGCTCATTTTCCCCCCATTGCTTTTTTATAAAGCAAGCAAAGCTGCCTGCTACTGTGGTAACAGTGAAACTACTATGATGACAAGTACAGATGCAAGGACAATGATTGTGGATGCAAGGCTACTCCTTACTGCTGACAATAATCCTGCTGCTGGTGTACTGGATGCAACTCCTGCAATAAGGGACGCTCCTCCGGTTACACCACCAGCGCAAAGGAAGACAACTTAAGAAACAATGAAAGATGTGATGTTATTCAGTTTCTTCTAGTAATGCAGTCTAATGGGGAGAGGAAGCTCATGAAGGGATCCCAAAAGGATGCTGCAGAGCAGTTTGATACATCAACCAAGACTATACTAGTATCAAGGTTTGGAAGTGTTACAAGGAAACTTGTGATCCAACTACCTGCCCTGCTGGTGATGTCTCCAACAGAAAAAGCAAGTGTGTTAGGAAACCAAAACCACTAAGAGACTTGGAAGCAATCAAGGATGTTCCCCTCAAAGATTTTGGTGACCTATGAACTCTTGCAGCTCCAACAGGCATCCTACTAAAGTCCATTTTACATGTTCTTGTCAAGCACGGTGAAATTCAAAAGCATAATGGAACTATGAAGCCTCTGTTGACTGATAAGAACAAAATCAAACAAGTTAAATGGATATTGAGTCACATTGATCACAATGGCAGATTCAATGATTGGTTCAATTACTAATTGAACCAATGAAAATATTATTGATTTCAAGAAAATATATTGCAGGACAAGATAGCACGGTGATACGGAAATGAATAATCAACGTGGGCAAGATATAACCGGGGATCACTACGAAATTAGAGGCTCCTTCACCGCGCGATTAGCGTGACACCATGAAAACGGTTTATGTGACGTACATATATGTCAACAATAAATGGTTCCTCTTGAAGTGTACCAAGCAGACAACTTACAATCTGCTAGTACCAGACAATGAAGATGATCCCAAGTCTAGTACGTCAAAGTGAAAGAACCATATGACAAAAGTTATGTTCTTTTGTGCCACAGCACGGCCAAGGTTTGATTCATGTGAGAATGCTTGGTTTGATGCTAAACTTGGTATTTGGCCCTTTGTTGTCAAAGAGCCAGCAAAAAGAACATCCGTTAACTGTAGGGCTGACACGCTGGTGACTAAGCCACAAAATGTCAATGGTGATGTGTACAGGCAAAGTTGCTGGAGAAAGTTTTGCCTGCAATCTATGAAAAGTGGCCAAAAGGATCTGATGATAGTCCACCTCCTGGTGAGATTATCATTCAAGCAACAAGAGGATAATACAAAGCCTCACAAGCCAAGTATCAGAACTGATATTAGCAAAGCTGCAGCAGATGCAGGCTGGAAGATTTGTGTTGTTACCCAACCACTGAATAGTCCAGATATGAATGTTCTTGATCTTGGACTCTTCAATTCAATCCAAAGCCTCCAGTACAAAAAGTGGTCAAAAGATATTGATCATTTGATTGATAATGTTGAAAAGTCATTTGACAAGACAAAGCGGGAAGCACTCGACAATGTCTTTCTATCTCTCCAGGCTTGAATGAAAGCATGGCTTGGTGTTGGAGGTGACAACAATTATAAGCTACCCCGCATGGGGAAAGCAAGTTTCCTTTGTTAGGGAGCACTTCCAACTTCCACTTTTTGCAATGCGAATCACATGATCAAAGCAGGGTGAGCAAGCTCAGGCTCAGGCTATTGGTGATTCCCACCACCAGCAGTACTAGTAGTAGTAGTAGACTACTAGTAGTAAGCCATTCTTATAATAGTAGTAATCATGGAAGTTGATAAGAAAAAAATACTAGAATAGTTTTTTCTTGACTGAAATTGCGATGGAAAGGGGAGTCTGAGGGGGTAGAAAACCTAAAAATCCAGTATGAAGTTTTTTTAAATGTAGACCGTAGTAGTACAAAATGAATGGCTGTTTTTAAATACTGTAAACTGTTTCTTCCAGAAAATATAGTAGTCGCTGTTTCTTTGAAACACAGCACCAGTTTCTTCCACAAAATACATTTTAGTATGCCACTGGATGATGACAGTTCCACTTCCACTTGAAGCGAACCACAAAAGACCTAATTTCTGGTACTGATGTTACACAATTTTATGCAGTCTTAGTGAGTTATTGTGCAGGGGAGACACTCTTTGTATGGACAACAACCAAAATGGTCATCGGGTACATCTATTTCTGGACGGAGGAAGTACCGTACGATGTTAGATGTACGATATGATACGGTACTTGGTACGGTACATACGGTAGGAAGTGATGATCCACTACATTCGCGCCATAAAGTTTCTACCTTGGCCATTCGCCGCACCCAAAAACGCGCCAATTTTTGAAATCGTGATGGAAGACTACGAGTACGATAAAAATGTACGGGACCTTCGTACTTCCATCCTTTTAAGGGACGGTATGCTGCTGTAATAGTGTTACGTAGCAACTTCGTAGAAGCGAAGCCAACACAGAGTTGAGAGGTGCAAGACACACAACATCGCTATGCACACCTAATTTGCCGCTGCGGCGCAAACCAAGAATCCCTCAGTAGCTTGCCATCACCTCTGAGCATCATCCCTAACGACCCAAAGGACAGTCCGAATTGTTACCACCGTGCATTCGTAATCGTTGGTAGTGTACAGCATCACATTCAACGGCTAGGATCGGTACCAACAAGAATACAAAGGTAAAACGATACAAGAAAGGTTCATCCATCGATTTGGGTTGGTATGCTCAAATCCCGATCGTTTGTCGCGACACAAGTAGAGAGAAAACGAAGCCGAAGCAACGAAACCACCGCGGCATAGAGTTGTATTCATGAAAGGCCGTTCCGAATAAAAAGGAAGCCACAAAATTATTCTATAATGCCCGACGGGTCTTCATCGTGCAGCGATAGCATCCCGATGGGGGGGACCCCACGGATTCAGATATCCCTCAGCAGCAGCAGCAGCAGCAAGTCCAACAGCGGGTCGATGGAAGCCGCGATCGAAGCGGAGCCCGGCTTGTACAAGAGTGTGCGAAAGGCTCTGAAGGAACGAACGCTGAACTTCAAGATCAACGTTGAGTGTAAGTAGCAGATCACTTTCCCTCTGCGTACAAATCTTGTGCAGCTTTGCTATAGCAATGCTCGAAGCAGCGCAGAGAGTCTCCGATGGCAGCAATGTTTCGTTCCGATCTACAAGGAACGGCGTGGTGCTGCTCTCTGGATAGAACTCGGTCGATACAGTTTTCTCCCGACCTTGATTCGACACCCATTGGAAAAATCTAACTTCCGTTCCACCCACACCCCTTCACACACACAGGCACGTCCCTCAAGGTGTCTCCGTCGGGAAACTTTTTGTGGGGCGGATTCAGCGACGGAACACTGCGGGTATGGGACCTCTCGGGGACCTTCGGTTTCGAAGACGACGACGTGGTAGCCTCCCGCCAAAAGTCAGGTCTCCTGGTAAACTCCAAGCTGACCCAGGGATTCGGGGCCGTGGCTTCCCAGATCCACGCCCGGGGCGTCCACACCGACCTGCTCACCACCGTGGACATTAGCGACGACGCCCAGTACGTCTTTATGGGTGTTTCCCGGGGCGCCGTGGAGCTCCACGCGGTTTTTGTTGGCGATCTAGAGAGGGCCGTGCACAGCCAAAAGCGAAAGGAGCAGATGGGTTGGCGCCAGGAGAGCAACGCCTCTGGAATCGTCCCTCCTCCAGTGAAGCGGAATATCCTCGACTACCTCAAGGTGTACTGCTACTCGGACGCCAAGCTCAAGGGATTCGGGGCCTGTGCTACGTTGCAGGCTAGAAACACCGAGGGCAACTCTCGGTCGCCACCGCTCTCGTCCTACCTGTTGCTGACTGGAAAGGGCATCAAGAACATTCACATTTGGAAGTTTACTCCCCCTGCCCATCGCGTCTATAGAAGCTGCGACGACCACGGCAATGACACGCTCCACAGCGTGAGTCGGAATCGAAAGCAGAGCATCTGCGATCCACCCGAGGACGAGGAGGACAACGGGGTATGGGAACAGCTCTACGATACCTCGACCAACGGGAACACAATCGTGCTGCTAGGATTTCACCGGAATCCGCAGGGAAAGCTCCTAGCGGTCTCCAAGAGCGATGCCCAGAAGCTCCGCCTGTGGGACCTCAGCTTCGAGGAGACGGAGGAAGCATCATCCAGTACTGAATGTGGCCGCTCCAAACGACCCCCCTACCACGACGTGGCCAACTCCCAGCAGGCCCTGGACATTGCCGGGGGCATCGGCGTCTGCGGGGGAGGAAACATGTACAACGAGATGAGTATCGTCAGTTTGGACCGACCCAACGATCCATACAACCACACCGAGCTGTACCTACCCAGCAGCAACGAGGGGGGAAACGGCGGTGCCTATTTCTCCCGACGGCAGCGCCGGGGAGAAATGAAGGCGGTGGTCAACGTGGCCACCTCGCAGCGGGACTCGAGCCACGCGCTGCTGGAGCTAGACGACGGATCCCTGGTGGGCTACAGCGCTGGGAGCAGCAGTAGCGAGAGCATTCCCAAGCTGATCGCCGTCACGCCCGAATCCACGGGGATCCCTGCGCTGCCGGCGGATTTCTGGAGACGGTGCATCTGTCTCGCGAACATTTGCGGGGTGGTCATCGCTGGATCGAGCCTGTACAATCCCAACACCAACAAGGGACAGCTGGTGGTCCGGGCCCTTGGTGGATTAAAGAAACCCCGGGGAAGTGAGCACACGAAGAAGAAAAAAGAACGGAAACTACTGAAGCAGCAGCAAGAGCGACAGAGTCAGCAACAACAAGACCGACTGAAACTTCTGAAACAGCAGCGAAAAGAAAAGGAAAAACAAGAGCAGCTTCAGCTCGAGCGAGAACGTGAGTTGCAGCAGCAACGAGATCGATTAAAACTCTTAAAACAACAAAGGAAAGAGAAGGAACGACAAGAGCAACAGAAACAAGACAGACTGAAACTCCTTGCTCAGCAGCAAAAAGAAAAGGAACGACAAGACCGTGAATTGCAAGTACAGAAAGAACAGTTGCGACTTTTGAAGCACCAACAAAAAGAAAAGGACAGGCAACAGCGCGAGCGAGAACAGAGATTGCATCTGCAGCATCAACAAGAAACATATGCGATTCCGCAAACGCCGTCACCGATCCACACCGGCAATCCGGAGTCGTCTCCGATGGCGGCCGACAAGGAAGCACTGCAAGATGCCGTGTCTGTTCCTAAGGAAGTTCCAGAATCTGTCATTCGATCAAATACGAAGACCAGCAAGCAGATCGATCCCCAAACAGTGCGCCCCGCATCCAAGTCAACGATACTGGCTGTGTCACCGAGCGGTGGTCTGGAAACCCCTTTGCACTCGACTAGAATGCAAACCGGTGCCCAGGACGAGTCTCCGGATTCTACGGGAAAAATCAACACGATATCCAAATTCCTCCAACCGAAACGCATAGCCATCAGAAAAGAGGAGGGCAAACAGGTAGAAGAACACACGAAGAGGCTCAAATCGAAGGACCACGAGAAGGCTGCAATGACTACACCTCCTGCAACTGCAAAGCAAAGCGGTGCCGATTCACCGGTGGCGTCTCTCAAGCTGAAAGACAGCAACAGCATGCCGTTCACATCTCCGAAACCAAAAATGAAAAAGCGAAAAAACAGTTCTCTGCCAAATGCTCCGACCAAACGTAAAAAGTCCGTTGTGTCGGAAAACGTGTTGCCGGAAGATTCTTCGTCGTCAACAAAAAGTCTTCTGAACGCCTCGTCAGCAAAGGATACTAGTGCTCCCGAACGGAAACGCGATCTTGTCGCTCTGAACGATGGACCCGAACCTTCGGAGAGCGAAGTTGTATCCACGGCTCTTCTCTTGACCAAGCTGGCGGGTGATAAAGCACCCAAGATAGTTCCTATTTCGAAGAAGCCTACGAGTGAGATTGCGACTGCCATTGAATCGAAACCTATCGCAGTCGGAACCCCCGAGACTCCTGCCGTTGACGGTGGCAGATCAAAAGAAACTTCCCAGGCTAAATCCAAGTCCAAACCACTAGCTATCGCAAAGCAGCAGCAAGCACCAAAACTAAAAGCATGTGCTCCAACAGGCAAGCCAAAATTGGTTCCTAAGAGTACACCCAACTCCAAACCGCATGCTCCTGTGCAGCAGCAGTCGCAAATTCCATCGAGGGAGACTCTTCTGAACGAGAGGATCAACGAGCAATACAATCAGCTCTGCGCATTCCTGAAGAACTTCACGGATCAATCGATGAAGTTGATCCATGCTCGAAACCTCCGAGGTCCCATTCCATCGGCCCTCGACGATCGAAAGCAACTCGATGCATTCTCGAAGCTGCGGGAAGAACACCGGGCCGCCCATAACTTCCTGCAGAGCAGATTGCTACGATCGGCCGAAGCAACGCTGTTTCTCCTGAAGGAATCCAGAATTAGTTCCGAAGAGGCACGCACCCAACTCCGGCAGTGCATCAAGAAATTCGGGAAAATTCTGTACGACACCCTCCATCGCCAGGAGATGGAACGCCTGGCCCTGGTGTCGAAGATCCCCAAGAGCAGAAGTAATTTAGCCAAAAACCGAAAGCAAGGAATGTCATCGATTCCGTCGTCTAGGCCAACCGAAGAACAGTCCAACTACCCCTGCAAGGAGGCGTTTGAAAAGGTCGAGCACATATGCGCCGCCATCACCCGTCCGGTCGGACGCCCGCGATCGGGACCAGCTGCTCTCCGCGGATGACGGACTGAGGATTGATTCTAAATCTAGGAACCAAAAAAGCAATGTTAAAAACTTAATGCGCTAACTTGATCACGAAGTACTTCTCCCTGTCAATAATGCCATAAAACCTAATGATCGAAATGTCTCTTGTTGGTTCATATAACGACTTCATGAGAGGATCAGAACAATTTCGTCCACTATTTACTCCTCGCTCTCAGAGTTCGGTGGTGATGACGGCGAACTCTCCTGTCCAAAAATGTTTTCGAGAATGTTTCTCTTCTCGTCGAGGTCTCCCTTTTCGGCGTCGGCTTCCTTCCCATCGAGTGCATATTGTCGGAGCACGGCGAATTCCACATAGTCCAGCGTTTTCTCGTGCGTAGCCCGTAGATACAGCTTCGGTGCCTTCCCGAAGGCGTAGGCCTGAGCCCACCGCTGGGCACAGAGGCACCACTGGTCGCCCTCCTTCAGCCCGGGGAAGTGATACTCGGGAATAGGCGTGCTGAGATCGTTCCCCACCGATTTGGAAAACTCAAGAAAGTCCTCCGTAACCTGCACGCAAACGGTGTGCCTCCCAAAGTCCTGTGGACCGGTAGAGCAGTAACCATTTCGGTAAAAGCCAGTGCCGATTCCTGAATTTCCGACGTTGGAGCAGCAGCATTCCATTCGGGTGCCGAGCACGTTGATCGACTTTTCGTCACCATCTTCCGACGGTGAGAATCGAAGGGAAGTCTCGGGGCGCGGGGAACTCCGAATTATTTCTATGGTTTTCATTTTTTGCGGTCCAAACCCGGACACAGAAGTGATCAGCATCAATTGCATATATGACAGTGCGACTCTCATGATATGGTTTCTTTCAAAATTCTTTCAAAACAAAGGAGTTCAAAAGAAGGCAAGAAATCTTAGGCTTTTGGAAAACGCGTGCTTTCGCTTTTGATAGAACGGTATGATGTCGTTTGATTCAAGACGGTGTGGCAGTGATTTGTTGGAATCCCTAGAATATATAGTATTCAAATCTTTGATTGTCTTGGCATGCGGTTCCATTCTAGTTCTCTCTTGTCCCAACCCTGACGATTTGCGCAGTCTGATGTGATGCGTGAAAAACTTCAGTGGACCATCCATGTCGCCGACAAAAGACAAAATTGACCCGTGAGAGACTTGAACTCCCGGCCTTCGGGTCTGGAATCCGAAGCTCTACCAACTGAGCTAACGAGTCAAGTGCTGACGCTTGTCTTATTTCATTGTATATATACTCTCTTTCAATAAACGGAAATACTTTTACAACTATTTTCTTTTAACAGTAGGTATTGCGAAGTTTCCATCTATGGCACTCTTATTACTGTATGACTTCAGAGATTAACGATCACTATCCTAGCTCCTACGGAAGGATGGTGACTTTCATACATGAGACCATCGACAAACTTTCAAAAGAATACAATAGAATTACATTCCTTTGTTTTGGTTGCGGTGATGGCTGCCATGGTTGCTTCGGACTTTATTTGAGTGAAACAATAGCAACGTTCTTTTTTCTGTGAGGAAAGTTGAAAATTATTTCGACTTCCGCGATATACACATACGCAGGCACKCGTGTCCCCCGCAATGTAAGCTGATTAGTTCTACGAAAAATACAGTATTTTTGTCCAGTTCACGACTATTGCATCTGGCAAGGTGGAGTCCTTCCTGAATGAAGTGACATGCGCACAGCATTGTTTCATTTCTTTTTTCACTTGATCAAAAAACAAGTAGTGCCTAGTTCTATGCAAGAATTTTCAATTTGCAGCTTAAACGCCACACTTTTCTACCGTATTCAATATCTGCATTGCAGTTGTTGTTGCATTTACGTTTATTCGGATCGTACACGACTTTGATGAACGAGAAGAGTCGCTCCGAACGGATCTGTATAAATTGAATGATAAAAATCTTAATCTCAAATGAATGGTTTGTGTATGGCTCTTTAAATAAATTCCAAGTCTTTTGCGAGTGCGCAGATCCGATTCACAATAATCGAAAGCACATCGCATGATAGCGAAGAAACAACCCACTTGTTTCACATCGTTAACCTACGCAGGAACTTCCTAGCGCGTTTCATGCGGCTTGCTGCCTGGTTCTTACTGATGGTTTCCTTCAGGCTCTCTACCTCATCGCTGTTCCTTGCCTCGTCAATACTTCTCATTGAAAGAGGGGGTATTATGGTTTCGTTATCAGTTACGGTAGTGCTGGTCGAGGGCCGTCGCTTGTCGTCAGCGTCGTCGGAAAGAACCGCTGTGTCTACCAACACTCCCTTCGAGGCCGACTCAACGGCCACCGAGTTTCGCCGCGACGATTCCTCGAGCCAATCGATGGCGCGCGCCGTTCGCTCGTCCCCGCAACCAGCTTCCAGTGCATTCTTTGCATGCTGCTTACAAATTTCGCTGTAGCGCTCGGCAATGGCCTCGATCATGTTGTTGTATTGGCTCTGTGCGTACTGGGCAAACTGGAACTTGTTAGTTGCGGTTATGTCCCGGATTTCCTTTTCGGTTCGCTCGTCTCGCTCCATCTGCTGCGCAGAGGACGAGGACATAGAAAACGAGTTGCGGCGATCGTGTTTCTTCTTCTTGCCGTTCTTCGTTCTGGAAAAACCCTCGATGAGCTTCTGCATTCGTTCCTCGTACTCGTCTTGCATAGCCTCCATATGTGCGTCAAGATCTGCCTGCAGAGATAGGATGGTATACTTGGCTTGCAAATACACCTGGTCTCGCTTCTTTCTCTTTTTTGGGATTTCGTTTTCGATTCCCCGAACGCTGTACCCTTGTTCTTCGTCACGCTCGATAGAGATGATTTCCTCCCAGTATAGGTCGCTTTTGTCTCCGCACAATCCGCAATCACTGCAGCTTCCAAGCTCGTTACTATTGTTGCTGTGCTTTCCCTTGTTCTTTTTCAGTTTCTTTTTCAGTTTTTGTTCTTCTTTTTTTCTTTTGGCAATAGTCTTTTTGAGTTCCTTTTCTCTCTTTGCGATGCTCCGTATGATTCGCATGTTGTTTCGGAAGATGGTCCGATACTCTGAGCCACAAAACCACGCGGCCGCTCGTTCTTCGCTGGTAATTTCCGTCACGTGCATATAGTTACGAAAGTGAACGCTCTCTGAAAACCGAACCCTATCGTTGCCAGGTTTTCGTCGTTTTCCCCGTTGCCTTGATTTTCCGAACTGGGTATCGGTTTCGTCCTCTGTCGGCATTTTTGTTGTTGTATTCGTGGTGACCGAGTCATACGACATTGATGGCGACAGAATTGAATGCGGTGTGCCGGTCAACAGAATCGACGACGATGAGAGGAGTGAACGCCTCGTTTTGGAACGGTGGTTGCTGGTGCTGGAAGGCTCGTCTTTGCTGGGCGGGTTGTCGTTCTCGGCGTTGTTGTCCTCAAGGCTAAAACCGTCGTCTTCGATCTCAGTCAAGAACAAGGCCATGTCCGGATCGTCTCTAGATGCCTTGAGACAGATCGACATCCGGGGAGTGATCGCGGATCCCGAGGATTCCAAGGTCTGATCGTCCATTGTGTTGTTTGTTCGCTGCAATTCGCTGCGTTCTGTTGATACAATTGCTAGTGCTTTTGGCTGTTCATTAGTACGCAATGGTCACGTATTCATTCTTTAGTTTAGTTGCGGTATGAACTTCGTTCTATTACAAGTCATAGCAATCCCTACCTTACAACAGTCAGGTTTACAGTAGTTTGCTTTAGTATGACAAATAAAGCAAATTAAAACGAAGTACCGTACGGAATGAACTAAAAAGTACTGTACATTAAATTTCAGGCAAAAAAGTTACTTACTGTACTGACTTCCGCCATACTGCATGCTCGCTCCTCGACATCTAAGTATTACTGTTCAGTACTTGTACTCGTACAAGTACAACCTGCGTAACGGTACGTTGTTCCTTTTTGTCTTCTAAATGTAAGTTTTGGGCTCGTACTCTAACCGAAGTTATACTGCCAGTATTGAATTCAAAGAGTGGAACCCGTGGGTATGGGGCAATACGGTAGGTGTAATTTCTTTGACAAAAAAATAGGTGAAGAAAATGAGGATTGTTCTCTATTGGCGGAACCCTTCGATTGCTCCACACAGAGTATGGTACCGTACGATAAAGAAATAATACAAATGTTCTTTTTATATTTTTTTCTCGCCGTATCGATTGATGAATTATGATTGGATAATATTAGCACCAATATTTAATATTATTTAATGTTTTCGGCCAACGTTATTTCACCGATGTGATTTGGAAGTGCATATCTCCGTTATTGTTATGCTTCGTACTTAATTTATTTTGTGAAATTTTCTTACTTATAGTTCGGATATTCACCTTCATATGAGATTCATAAATAACTGAAAACCGTTTTTGGTCGGAGCACTGAAACAAGGAAAATAGTTCCATAGCACTAATTTTCGCTCGTTATGAAAATCGACCATATTGGATCATTCTCGTGAATATAAAGTAACAAGATTACATGTGACACGTTCTACGTGTTTGCATATGAAATGAAAATGCATAATACTACTCAAATTCTTAGATTAAGAAGGCACACCACCACCTACTAAATTGATTGAAATAAAGATTTTTGCTTCCACCTTTTCTAGAATGATAAAAAACAGAACCCTAAAAGAAAATAGTAGTACTAGTAGTTTCTCTGTCCCAAATCATGATTCTTCTTCTTGTCACACCACCAGCACCTCCTCCTCCTCGCCGCTCCTCCTCCTCTACTAGTACTAGTACTAGTGGTAGGTACCTACTAGCATTGGGAATAGTATGCAAGCAACTGCACTTTACTAGCAGCTATCAGAGTGGGACAGCATGAGGATGATCCAATGACAATATCTATTCCCAAGGCTGAAGGACAAGCTTCCATTGGAAACATGGCAACTGAAAGATGATCTTGAATGTTTTGGAGTACTCTAATACAAATTTCCAAGCCAGTCCTGTAGGTATTAATCAGATCCTTGGTGGGTTCATGCCCAATGAGCATTCTTATGGTATTGAAAATGACACTAGAAATCACATGTTCCTATGAGTCCAACAAGGGCAACAGTACCTCCATGGCAACATTAACAACAATTGAAACATCCAAACAAACAGGTACAACAACAATAATTATAATCAAAGCATCCTACCATGGTCAACTTACTGCATACAATGAGTTTGCTTTGTTCATTGCAACAATCAAAAAGTTAAATTAGTAGTTTTAAGAACTTCAATCAAAGTAGCAATAATGAGTTTTCACCACTGAAAGGGTCCAAACTAGGGAGTGTTCTGTGCAATCATACATTTCAACAAGGTGCAATTCCTAGTATGGTGGTTCTCTGGATTCCTAGACTAGTACCAATTCCTGTTGCTTTATTTCCATCACCAACACTCTTTCATGTGGTATTGATCTTGGCCCTTCTAGTGAGGATAGTACTCCTTTAGTTTTTTTTGTCAGATCTTCACCTGACATTTTGGATTTGTTTTGGTGCACTTGCTGGTACCAGCATGCGTTATTGTTTCTTTAGAAGTTCAACTTGCTTGCTCTCTGTGAGGACTAAAAGTGTTGAATCCATGATTCCAAATTAGTAGTAGTCCATGGTAGCTCCATACTACCAAAAATATATGTATCTGATACAAAAATACATACTTTTTTGGACATAACTGAAACTTAAATATAATTACATAGAATTTGTGGTCACAGGAATGAACCATTGTACCATGGTGCCATATTGGACTCTACTCTACTGCTGCTGCCTCCACAAAGATGCTACTACTACTATCTGTGGATATGCTACTAGTGGGGACCTTTGGTCATTACTAGTGCCAATTTCACCTCTCTGGTCACACCAGTACTACTAGTAATAGTACCACTAGTACTACTAGTACTATAATATTAGTACTATCAGGCAATACCACAGTGACGGTAGTGAAAATGGTGACTTTTTGTGTGCAAGAGCAAGTTCAGCCAACCACTATGAATTTCTTTAGGTTCTTCTTGTGGAAATTGTGACATGATCAAAAAAGTGCAACTGGTAATTTGAATACTACTACTAATAATGTCACTAGTAGCCACTACTGCCAGGTAGTAGTGGTACTAGTAGGAGTCCTCATCATCATGTTTCATTTTTTGGTTACCATTTCTCTTTACTTCTGATAAGTGTGAATTTTTCTAGTATGGCTTTTTTGGGGCACAATTTGTGCTGGGTTTTAATTTTCTCATTATGTGTTCTTGGTGGCTGCTGGTACATAAAATTGTTTGTATTTTTGAATTTCCTATCTCACTTGCCTTAACAAATATCTACTACTTGTTGTACTAGTAATTTGTTGCTGTAAGTAAAGTAGTACTAGGTACTGCAATCTAATACTACTACTAGTTAGCTGGCTGTAGATTCACTTTTGCAAGTGTTGTTTTTGAGGTAGACTGGTTAAGCTTTTCCTCCACTCTGCTTCCAGTACTCTGCTTCCAGTATTGTCTTCTCCTCAAAGGTTGTGACGCAAAACAACGAACCAACAATGACAGATCATCAGATTCGCTTCTAATATTTACTACTAGTACTAGAAAGTCCAATTTAGACATTTCAAAGACAAAATACTATCATTATGCCACAGCATTGACAAAGGAGAAAGAACTTAATATTATTTTTTAACCTTGTGGTGAGCTACTAGTAGAAGAAGTGCCATGACAGCCAGACGAGGGGCAGCACCTCCAAAGAGGCTCTGGTGGGTCAGGGTGGTTTGACAGGATCTAGAAGAAGTAGACTGTAGGTAGCCCAAGTCATGTCTGATATTAGATGAGGCTGCTTGGGCTGTCACTTTTTGGAGCATATCTTTTGTAATTCTCTCCAGAGTTTTTTACTACCAGTGGTAGTATACTAGTAGTAGTGCGCATCAGTGGATGAAAGCAGTACTAGTGAGTGATTGGATTTAGATTTGCAATGATGAAACAAGTTGTAGCAGCATAGTAATGCATAATTAAGAGAGACAGAAACCAACAAAGTACCATGTATTGATATAGTATGTCTATTTTCATTCAAGAAGAATTTCAGCACTGCATTAGCCAACACCATACCAAAAAAATGCAACAATTATACTACTTCTATTAGCATGCACCAATTTTGGACAAGAATGGCAAAGAAGAAAGTTATCCATGATGAAGAAAATCATAGCCAGCACATATGATTTAATTTTGGGGACCCTTCAAAACAAAGAATATTTCAAACCACTCACACATTGAGCTCCTTGTTTTACCTCTACTAGTACTAGTAATAGTACATGTGGTCCTTAGTACTAGTAGTAGTATCATTATCAGACATTACTCCTGATTCTAATAGTATCTTTAAACAAATAAAAACAATTCAAATTGAAATACACTCATTTGCTTCCTCCACCATAGTAGAGGAATAGCTGACACCTTTGTTACTACTAATAGTAGCAGCCAGAAATGTCTGAAAGATGCAATAAGCATCTGCTGAAAATGCTTGTCTGTCCATAATCAGCAATCAAAAAGCAAACACACTTTCTCCTACTAGTAGTACTACTAGGATTATGAGTAAGAAGTTACTAGTCAAAACTACACCAGCGTTTTTGTTGATCATGCAACAAGATCTAGATTGAAAGCAGTAACGACAAAGAATGTCACACCTACAAGATTATCTTAAAGAAGAAGAGACAACAAAGACCAGTCCCAGGTTTATCCACCAGGAAAACGTTTGAATTCCTCAATCAATGACAACAGGAACAAGACCCAAGAATGGAAAAAACAATGTCTGACAACATAATCCAACATCAGAACGTTTGTTCTTACACAAATTTAAAAAACGATTTTTTTTTACTTTTTTCGAGAGAATGTTCAGAGAAAATTCCATTTGTCTCAATGGAAACAACAAAATGCCTCTGAGAAGTGCCTCCATCTTAGTAGCTATTAGTACTACTAGTACTATGTACAAAACAATTTGTTCTATGGGGGAAAACCCACTAGTAGTAGTAGTACTAGTAAATAGAAAACAAAGTGACAGCAGCATAAGATGCCTTGTTGGAAGAAACTAACAACTACCTACGAAAGCCAACCAAGAAGATTCCCCTCACAATGAATACTAGTACTGCTAGTAGTAGTAATACTTGTTCTTGCTGTAGCCAGAATGAAAAACAACAAGAAATGTACTACTACTACTACTATTGGTGGTAGCACTAGTACTAGTACTAGTACTACTAGTAGTACTACTAGTACTGCCAGTGCACCAGTACTAGTACTAGTACTAGTAGTACTAAAAATGCTTCTTTTTCTTCTTTCTTGTGACCTCCTTAAATTCTTTACTACTAGTAACGCAAAACGCACTACTAGTATTTGTAGTACTACTAGTAGTAGTACTACAACAAGTAGATATTTGTTCTGTCACTACTACTAGTAGTAGTACTAGTAGTAGCAGTAGTAATACAAAAACAGCTACTTATTGAAAAAGGGATTTCAGCATCACAATATGAAGAATTCTACTAGATAGTAATACTACGAAAGCTACTACTACTAGTACTACTAATAATAGGCACACTGCCACTACTGCCACAACTTGCGTTCCTCATTTCAAAACTGTCACCGATAAAATCCTGTACTGATAACCGTCCCTATCGTACGTACGTATTCCGTCTACTGAGAAAGGGACGAGCCCCTCGAACTTGCGTCGATCCATCATCATCGATCATCCATCAACTCGAAGTCGATTCAAAATCAACAACGGCATCAACATTCCAACAGAAGAAAATGCTTGTAGGACTCTTCCCAAAAGAGAAATATTACAGGCAAGATACAGGAATCTGAACACAATACTTTGCGTTGGTAGAACAAGTCGAACTACACCATCGAAACAGGGGAGAGTTCAAATCACGTCACAGCCACAACCTATCGGGACCACTATGTTCGTCCCCTCGATTGGTATTGGAAGAAAAAAATCGCATTCATCCTATTGCTTTCCCCCCGCTGCCACTAGCATCTTGGTAGCTGTCTCCCTACTTCATCTTTTGGCCTATTCTTCTGCGTCGGCCATCAATATCGTGGATCGCCCGAACACTTCTTTCTTCTCTCTCGCTGCAGCACTATCTTCGGTATCTGTGACATCGGCAATCCGAAGCAGCGGCAGTCTAGGCGGCAGTTCTTTAAGTGCTAGCCTTATCAGTGTCACCACCACCCCGACTACAGGAAACGTATTCTCGTCCACGGCAATACTAGCAAGCCAAAAGGAATTCGAAGGCGAAGAGATAGACACAAGCAAGTCTCAAGTCGAAACTCTCCCAAGCGATACTTCCACGGACAATCGCGCTTTATCCATTCCGGATACGACATCTACTTCTATCGACGAAGCTAGTCCACCCACTGTTTCAAATATTGAGGACGGTTCCAGTGAAAATAAGAACACAATGAAAAAACACATTGAATCTCTTGCTGCTTCGTCTCCTCGTGCCAGAGCTTGTATCCTGATGGCGATTGCCATGTCGCTGCATTTCGGAGGGTACGAATTCGCACGGTCCGCTGCTCTAGCGTTGTTTACCTCGAGCGAGACGGGATTCACCCACCCTTCTGCATATCCATTTGCGATTGGATTGGTGACGCCAACGACTCTATCCCTGCTCTATTGGTACGGGACCTTGCTCAAGGCGGACGGCCCGCGCAAGGCCCTGCGAAAGACCACGACTCTCGTATTGGCCGTTTTGCTTTTGGGAGACGGGTTGGTAGCGATCTTGTCCTCTCCGGCGTTTTCCGGGGCACACAATAGCCTCACTTTGCTGACCCAGATCGCCGTGTCTGGCCTCTTTGTCTTTCAGAATTCCTACGCTCACTTGATCTACACCCAGCAGTGGTCCTTTTTGGGATCAGTCATGACTCCGACAGAAGGAACGCGATGGTTTACTTTCGTTGCCGGATTTTGCTCTCTTGTGTGCACTCTGACGGCCTCGTCGGTCCAATCCATTGCCGATCGAAGCTATGGCCTGGTCACGCTGGTGTTTTTGACGTGTGCCACCCTCGGATTGTCTATGATCTGCGCCGACAAAGCCTATCAATTGTCTTCGGAACACGGTTTTGATCCCTCTCTCGAATTGCAACAGAAACAAGCGAAGAAAGATGAAGGGAAGACGACTCAGGCCACATCAGGTGAGGGCGACAACGAAGAAGAAACCTTGTTGGCAAAGACGGGACGAATGTTCAAGACCAGCCCAACACTGGCGGGACTGTTCGGGGAGGTCATCGCCTTTCAATCTCTGTCGACTGTCCTCAATGTTTGCTTCGTGAGGCAATTAAAAGAATCCATGCCCATCGATGGAGAACGAGCCGCTTTTACGGGACAGTTCTATGCTGGCGTGAACGGTATCAGTGGGCTGATGCAGTTTTTTGTCCTACCATTGCTGCGGAAATACCTGGAACCCCAATGGATTTATCGCCTCTTGCCCATGGTTCTAATGCCCTTGCTCACGTATGCGGCGGTGGGTCCTTCTGCCAACAATGGGCTGTGGATTGCCGCCGTTTCCTTTTTTGCACTGAAATCGACCGACTACAGCATCCGGGGAGTTGCCACCGAACTGGCGTACCAGCCCCTCGATTTCGATGCCCGCTATCTAGGCAAAGAAGTGATTGGCGTGTTTGCCAATCGCTTCGGAAAATCCGGGACCTCTATGATTCTGTCAGCGCTGACCGGAATGGGAATCATGGCCAAGAGCACCCGTCCGATGTCGCAACTGGCTGTTGGAGTGGGGGCGCTGTGGTCGGCTTGCAGCTTCTACCTCAGCCAGCACGTGGCGACCAACAAGCAAGCGGAAGAGAAGGTTCAACGGCGCAGAGGAATAGCGTCCAACCAGGCTTCATCAAAAGGGGAAGATCCAACGAGGGGTGGTCAAACAGATCCTGGCGATGACAACCGAATAAAAGAAGACTAGCACTAATCCTAGGGCTCCCTCATGGAGAGACCTTTTTCACTCGATGGTTTCAATCGCACATAGTTTCAATGGTATAATGCGGCTCACTTCTTGCTACTTGTTGATCAAGGCCAACAGGAGCTTAGAATTATGGGATAGAAACTACTAGTAATTCTTTATAATCAGGTACCACAAACTGTTAACGTCACTTCTAGTACTGGCTTATGAAGGTGTCTCCCCATTGACATTATTCTAGTAATATTGAATGCTCCTATCCATAGCAATTGTAAAGATTCGGAGCTCTTTGAAAGAATGGCTCACTGCTGGTCCTGATGTTGTTGTTGATGTTAATTCAGTCTCAAAGATGCCGAGGGAATCATTGCTGTTGCTCCTGCTTTCTCTCGTTGCTTAAGTGATTCCATCTCCTGTCTTCTTGCTATGTAATTTTTCGGCCACGCAGCATACTAGCTTCCAGTTGTTCATACTACTTATTCTGGATTCAATCAGCTTTCTCATAGTATTCACCTCAGCAAACTAATCTCTCATTGAGGTGTCCTGTTTGTGCCATGCTGGAACACTGCAACAACAAGAAGAAAATTGGGTGGATCTTCTTCTCTAGTTTCTCAAGTAGATGATCCTTATTCTCTGTCAATTTGGGATACTACTGTTTCTTCCAGTACCCTGAATCTTTCCTATCAAATGCCACAACTATCACCTCTGCATTCTACTATTTGAGTTTATCAAACAACAATCTACAGGACCATTCAACATACTGCTGCTGCTAGTGGTAGTAGTTCCACCACTGCCAATACCAATCCTATCATTCAGTAATACTACCCTCCATTGACCAATAGTGAACAGCCACCACCACCAGCAGGTGTGTCACACAAAATGGACTACTACTAGTCTTTGTTGATGTATACTCCAAGAAGCAAGAATGATACAAAAAATCTAAAGCTCCAGCCCCTCCATTGATACCTAGTTATTCTTTTCCTTCCAACACCTGCTGAACCAAACTGACCCATTTCTTAAAAAATAATTGAGTCCAGCACCCTAGTAGTATATCTATGCTGCTGGTACCCCAGTCATGCTCCTCTGGTGAGGAAATGCCTCACTTGGGGCAACTTGAATCATCCTCCTTCTCAGTCAAAATGATTGCTCTGGTTTACCTAGTGCCTCTTCTGGTAATAGGAGTTCACCACCAGCAACAGGTTAAACAAAAACCAAGTTTTTTAAAACCAAGTCAGGCCAAGATGTGATCAAAAGGAGTGAAGTTCCAGCATTGATGGTACCTTGAAAAGTCAGCAGAGGCTACTACAATGCATTTGGCCTTGTCTTTCCTAGAATAGTCTTCCAACAAATTGTGTGCAAGCTGGTGGGATTTAGTGGGAGGACTCGTGAGAATTGAATCTTGGTGGTAAAGAGGAGGATGTTATATCTTTCAAGTAGAAAAAAGTAAGCTTACTACTTTGTCTCCTGAAAAATATGAAAAATGAAAATATACTGTCAAAAATAGGTATTCTGATATAGATTGAAAGTTATGAGTCTTTTTAATCAGTAGTGATATGATATCCAACACTATTTTCTGTGGAAAAACCATTTGGAAACAGCATCAGCAACTTTATTTGTTATTGTAGTGCTGAAATTGCTCACATCACTTTTTTAGTTTTTCCAACAAACACAATATCAGTAGTAGTACCATAAAAAATGCAATAGATTGATTCTTGTCTATTCCTATCACCACTAAGCACAGCAGATGTATGAGTAAAGTCATAGTGGTTTGATTCCCACAACCTATTAAAAATTTGCCATCTGCTATGCTGCTTAGTAGTAGTAGTAGTAGTAGTAGTAGTAGTAGTAGTAGTAGTAGTAGTAGTAGTAGTAGTAGTAGTAGTAGTAGTAGTAGTAGTAGTAGTAGTAGTAGTAGCAACAATAGTAGTAGTAGTAGCAACAATAGTACTAGTAGTAGCAACAATAGTAGTAGTAGTAGCAACAATAGTACTAGTAGATGCTACTATACTCCAGTCTCTGATCACCAACAATCAAAACCACTGTACCATTTTATACATCTTCAGTATTCCTGGAGAAATATTCAAGATAAAGTTAGATACTGATGCCCAATAGATATTTGACAACAGGACAGCACATTGTGCTGGCCGTGAGGTTCATAACTCTGCTCAGTAAGTACTTTGCTGTCATGATTAGATAAAATCTTGTCTCTACTACTAGTAACGATCACCAGCAACTACTAGTAGTAGTACAGTAGTACGCTTGTACTATATTATGAAAACCAACACCTTTATTCCTGGAAAAGAGTACAAGAACTCCAGCAAAAGCTCAACTATAATCACAAGAAAATCTACTATTTCAAATCATAGTGCTTGTGTGAGGCCCACCATGACATTGTTAGAAAAATATCTTCTTTTCTGATGTTTAAATCTACTACTATTCTTACTAGTCCTCCTTCCCTAGCACCTTCTGCTATTTCTAGCCACCAATAGGCACAACCATATCAGACCAGTACCTACAATATGGAACATTTTTATTGTTGGAGAAAATACTAATACATATACAGCAAAAACATCAAAATTATCAGTAATTCTTCCACAAAAGAATAGAGTGAGGAGGTCCATAACTCTATCAAAAATGATTTTTTTACTCTTACAATTTGAAGTAGTATATTATTAAGTTTCCTCACTGGTTGCCAACAGATAACAAGAATAAGCTGCTCCATCATGGCCATCATTTTTTTATTTGTTGAGAATTATACAAAATATTATTTTGAAGGGAAATCCAGGACCAAACATTTTTCAGTCACATGGAGGAGGGGGAAAGGGAAGCATCAGAAATCAAAATAGAAATTGACATAGGTCCACCAGTACTAGTAGTAGTCTTCATGAACATTTGGCTTTCTGAAGTCTTGTAAGATATTTTCTTCTTTCCATCTAGTATGATGTCCTATTTCCTCCTCCTTTCCATATATTCTATCTCCTAAAATTTGTAACACAAGGAACATTTAATCAAAATAGATGATGGGGCTGAAAAGTACTAATCTATCACTCTAGGGTCTTACCATTGTACCATCATCATGGAAGACCAAAACAAGCCAATTGGAAGGCACTTGTCCTTCAGTTTCTTCATAGCATTCTTACTAGTAAGGGTACAATTCTACCAACTTGGTGGGATATCTCATTTCAGATTAAAGGCTGTACTACTAGTAGTAGTAACTGCCACAACTACTACTACTGCTAGAATAGTACTAGTACCACTACTAAGTACAAGTATAATAGTTTTGGTAGTACTAGTATCAACTTGTTGTGCTGATGCATAGTAGTACTTCCCCTCAGCTCTACTCTGTTTCAAATTCTTATTGTTTACTGCTAATACTAGTATTACTGCTGGTGGCAGAATTCTACTACTAGTACTACTAGTAGTAATGAATTATGCTTACCTGATACTACTAGTACTAACACTTGTAGCATCCTGTCTCCTTAACAATTCTCTCTTGAGAAGAAACAATTCCATACCTTGTAGTACTACTACTTGTACCAGGTCGACAGTACTATTAATAGTAGCATTGTTACTAGTCTAAAAAAATTTAATATTATATTTCACCTTGTGAACTAGAAGAGGCACTATGGTGGCCAGAATCTTAGTAACTTTGGGTGTAAAGTACATATGCTTCTAGCTGCTCTAGGGGCAGCACTTCCCTCTGAGGAGTTCTGGTGTAACAAGAAGTGCATCCAGGGGTAACATTGTTACTACTACCCTACTAGTAACAATAAACATCCATCTACTACTATTATTGTATGTGTCATAATGTTGACTGGCTGGTGGTATATTTCCCTTCTGTGCTGGTAGCAGTATGCTATGTTTTATGATTTCTATTAGCATTCCTAGCATTGGGTTATTCCTGAAAACATATATCATGTATGCATTTGGGAATGAAATCAGTGGCACCAAAGACATGGCAGGCACTCTGAAAGTACATATTTCCCCCCACTTTTGGTGGAATTTGGAATCCCATATAATTGCGCGCAAATTTCACAATATTCCAGTTTGTGGTGCCAATTCAGATTTTCACAAAAACAGCTATGGCTCCAAAAATTTTGAAAGCATCTCCTCCTTGCACTCATCTCTTTTTATTTGCCTATCAATTCCTCCAAAATGGCCTACAAAATAGTCTCCATCCTCACTATTTGGCTATCAATTAATCCCTCACAGTAAAATGTCCCCTGGGTTGGTTTTAATGACATGGGCACCAGCTTCCCTTGAAGAGGAGGAGTCAATGCCACAGCTCAGCACTACAGAAGAAAGGCGTCAAAGGGACAGGAGAATGCTACAGATTGCACTCATGAAAGTGAGTGCCTCTCCATTCACCCATTTGTTTGGTTCTGGTGATTTGCAGGCTCATCTAAACTACTGTGGTGTTGACCATAGAGTCTTTAGTAGGCACCTCCTTTCCCTCTTTCAGTCAGTAAAGATATACTGTGGACAGATACACTGAGCAGATCAGACCTCAACTCTTAACAAAGAAGGAATGAAAAACTAATGGGGAGAAGAGGGAAGCAATTGCAACAACCATTGGGCTGGTGTTGGTCTTGACTTCGTTCACAACATGTGGATTAGCAGCTAGGACCTTGTCAATTGGATTTGGAATCACATCCACTCCCCTCTACAGATGGTTGAAATTTTCCAGATGAGTCCTTCTTTCTGTGTTGTAAAATCATCCCAATGCTATTATTAGACCCCCCTGCCACAAAGAAGTGGAGGCATATGTGGCAGCAATTGGAAGAAAGTACCAGGAACTTGGAACCAAAAGAGTATGGGGCGCATCAGATGGCCTCTGAAAAGCAGATTGTCAATTGCACCAAAAAACCTGAGCAGATTGCCAATTTCATCAATCCCCATGGTCATTATTGTTGATTAGTATCAGTGTATTTTGGTTGAGTTCTTTAAATGGAAGATCAATAGTGAGAGGAATGTAAGAATGTACTCCAGTTAGTATTATGATAAATGGAGAATGAGCTAAAGCAGCATCCTAAAAAAGAAACCTACACAATATACTGTGTTATTTGAGTTCCTTCTCCAATATAGCACTGTGTTATTTTGTGTTGCCAGTTTTCTTGCATACCTTCGTCCCAAAAAACAGGACTGGTAACATAGAGGGAATGTGTTGCACATGAAAGCAGTCCCACATGATTGCTGGCATGATTTGTTCTAAAAGGGGAGCAACAACACAATTTAGAATAACACAAGAAGAAAGTATTGTGTAGACAGGATTTAGAAGTACTAGTATAGTACTGCAATATTACTATTCAGTACTCATAAATTGCAAAGGGAGCAAAGAGCAAAGAGCAAACAGAAATAGCAAATAGCAAACAGCAAATAGTAGCAAATAGTAACAAATAGCAAATAGCAAATAGCAAAT